GTAGTAGAGATAAATGCGCTTCGTGAGGCACGCGCACACTAGCACACACACGCAAGGTCTCTAGCTCGCTCCCTCTCTCTGCCGTGCGCGCACTACGCATGTGCGCTCTTATTCGCTCTAGATTCCAAGAGATTTTAACTCATTTGCGGGCATCAGTGAGCCGCTATCAATATGCGGGAGACTCCCGGAACTTCCGGGAGACTTGGGATGTCTGACTGCGTGTGTGGCGGGTGGTGGGGTGGTGAGCCGGTGGGCCGGCCCGCCGGCCGTCCTGGAGTACCGGCCGTTCTGTGATTCTCCAGATCACACAGATGGCCAGTCCGCCCCTGCATGTGCTTGAAACATCAACAGCTGTCTTTGTTTAATTGCCACTTAACTGATCAGTCTCAGCTCTGTGCAGCAGATAACACAAACACACAACTATTTCAAGCTGTTCAGAGCCCTCATGTAGCCGGAATGCATGCCTGCATCAGAATCACTGTCAACATAGAAACCCCACAATCAATCAGTCCATCGTTGTCATGATTATGTCACCACTGATTGAAGCTAATCTGCAAACCAGTTCTGAAAGCTTCAGTCTAAAATGTTCTTTTCACATCTGCGCTTGCACAATACATTTATTTCTGAAGATACACCTATGAAGTTGAGCAATGAGCAACCTTCTTTACCTTGACAACTGGAAGAAAATATTAACTAAACGAATGCCTAATAAAATATAAATAAAAGATTGCCTTCAAAATATATTTACAGGTTATGTTATATGTTTAATTCTACTATTATTTCATTTTTGCAATTCCAATGCGATACAGCTCATATAGAGGTAGGATTAAGATTTGGGCGTGTCCTGCTTTACAACATGTGCTACTCATTGTTTTAACACAGCATTTTCTGCCTGATACAGTGATACATTTGACATTTTATGCCTTTCAAGATTTATCTTGATCCCAAAATACAACCCATGGTGCTACCCGTGTTTTTAGAATGGTGGTAGTTAGCCATATATCCTGATATGTGTTTTCTAACTAAGAAGTGCTACCCATGTTATATTAAAGATGTTATACTGGAAACAGAAGGTCTGATTTTCCACTGGCATGATATATTCTGTCAGAGGGCCTCAAATTAGTATTTACATTCAAATTATAATGGGTAAAGTATAAAATAATGTTTTATACTGTGTATATATATATATATTATATACTTTTGACGTTTAAAATTTTGCATTGTAATTAAAGTTTTAATGCAGTGACAGCAATAAATGATGTTGTATTGTAGTACCTGTCACAGTGTCTGGTTGTGTTCCCTTGTTTATCACTAGAGGGCCTCATTTTCACGGTGTCCTTCACATTTGACTTCAATTCCCAGCATTCTGTCTGTCACTGTCACTCATCAGTTCATTGCACTCAGCTGTTCCCCGTAATCATTGTTCCCAGCTGTTCTGTGTTAGTCTTGTTAGATATGTGTATATATTCCCTGTCTGTGTTAGTATGTGTACGGAGTCGTTGTTAATGTCTCACACTTCTTGGTTTGTGCCTGCCTGTTCTTTGTGTTCGTTGTTCTTGTTTGGATTGCTTGTATGGTATTTGACCCTTGCCTGGACTGGATTACGTTTCACGGATTACCCAATAAATATCTCACTGCACTTGGATCTACTGTCTCTCTCGTGTGTGTCGTGACAGAACGACTCCGTCCCGATGAATAGATCCAGCAGTTCGAGATTCCATAACCCTTCTCCTGTGTATGGGGAAGGAAGGGGACCACAGAGACGAGGTTCGCAGGTCGGGGAGGAAGCGCCTCGACTAAACATTTTTCAATGTTTTGGCATATGGGCCCAGCAGACTGAGGAAGCAGCGGCGGCTAAGGCTTCAGCGAACTCGTCCATCAGAGATGGTGAGTCGTTTCTGGGGACTCGTCTGGCGAAGTTCTCCGGAACTCGGGGAGGTTGCAGGGGAGGAGGTGGTCGACAAATTCCACGACACCGTCCTCCGCTTTGCCATTCTTCTGATCCAGAGCCGCCGGACTGGTCCAGTACAAGATCCTCGCCGCTGGTTCCACCCCGCACAAAGTCATCATCGCGGGGCTCATCTAGCACAAGGTCCTCACCACTGGTGCCGTCCAACACAAGATCCTCGCCGCTGGTTCCGCCCAGCACAAGATCTTCGCCGCTGGTCCCATCCATCATAAAGCCCTCGCCACTGGTTTCGTCCAGCCCAAGGTCCTCACCACTGGTCCTGTCCAGTCCAAAGTCCTCGCCGCTGGTCCCGTCTAGTACTGAGGCTGCACCTCGCCATCAAGGACGGAGGAGGAGAAGGGCCTCTTATCTCCCCAACACCCCGGTGGTCGTCCCTGTGCAGCATGCGGTCATTTCAGAGGCTGTCCCTGTGCAGCGTGCGGTCGTTTTGGAGGCCGTCCCTGTGCAGCATGCGGTCATTTCAGAGGCCGTCCCTGTGCAGCGTGCGGTCGTTTTGGAGGCCGTCCCTGTGCAGCATGCGGTTATTTCAGAGGCCGTCCCTGTACAGCATGCAGTCATTTTGGAGGGCATCCCAGTGCAGACCGCTGTTGTTCCGGTGGTCCCTGTTCCGGTGGTCCCTGTTCCGCTGGTCCCTGTTCCAGTGGTCCTGAGTCAGGTGGTCCCAGTGCCGGTGGTCCCGAGTCCAGTGGTCCCGAGTCAAGTGTCTGCTGTTCCAGAGCCGGAGCCAGTGTCTGCTGTTCCAGAGCCGGAGCCAGTGTCTGCTGTTCCGCAGCCAGAGCCAGTGCCTGTTCCAGAGCCGGAGCCTGTGTCTGCTGTACCTGAGCCGGAGCCAGCGCCTGTTCCTGAACCAGTGTTTGTTTCTGTGTTTGTGTCTGTTCTTGTGGCTGTTACAGTTTTGGTGTCTGTTCCTGAGCTGGTGTCTGTGCCTGAGCCGGTGTCTGTTCCTGAGCTAATGCCTGTTCCAGAGCCGGAGCCAGTGCCTGCTGTTCCAGAGTCGGTGTCTGCTGTTCCTGAGCCGGAGCCAGTGCCAGTGTGTGTTCCAGAGCTGCAGCCAGTGGCTGTTCTAGAGCCGGAGCCGGTGCCGTCTGTTCCAGAGCTGATGTCTGTTGTTCCAGAGCCGGTGTCTGCTATTCCTGAGCCGGAGCTAGTGCCAGTGTCTGTTCCAGAGCCTCTGCCATGGTCGTCCGAGTGGTCTTCATCACCCTGGCCGCCTGAGGGGACTTCACCGCCCTGGCCGCCCGAGGGGTCTTCACCGCCCTGGCCGCCCGAGGGGTCTTCACCACCCTGGCCGCCCGAAGGCTCTTCACCGTCCTGGCCGCCCGAAGGTTCTTCACCGCCCTGGCCGCCCGAGGGGTCTTCACCGCCCTGGCCGCCCAAAGGTTCTTCACCGCCCTGGCCGCCCGAGTGGTCTTCATCACCCTGGCCGCCCGAGGGGACTTCACCGCCCTGGCCGCCTGAAGGGTCTTCACCACCCTGGCCGCCCGAAGGCTCTTCACCGTCCCGGCCGCCCGAGGGGTCTTCACCGCCCCGGCCGCCCAAAGGTTCTTCACCGCCCTGGCCGCCCGAGGGGTCTTCACCGCCCTGGCCGCCCAAAGGTTCTTCACCGCCCTGGCCGCCCGAGGGGTCTTCACCGCCCTGGCCGCCAGAGGGGTCTTCACCGCCCTGGCTGCCCGAAGGATTCTCTGTTTTGCCCTGGTCCCCGGTTAAGCCCTCACCCCTTGTTCCTGTCTCCCTTCACGGACCTGGCCCACCATCCCTCCCCCTGATCCTCCACCGTTCCACCTCCCTCCTGAACACTTGTATCATGTTTTAGTGTTGTCGTGGAGCGTCTGGTAGCCGCTCCGTAGAGGGGGGGTTATGTCACAGTGTCTGGTTGTGTTCCCTTGTTTATCACTAGAGGGCCTCATTTTCACGGTGTCCTTCACATTTGACTTCAATTCCCAGCATTCTGTCTGTCACTGTCACTCATCAGTTCATTGCACTCAGCTGTTCCCCGTAATCATTGTTCCCAGCTGTTCTGTGTTAGTCTTGTTAGATATGTGTATATATTCCCTGTCTGTGTTAGTATGTGTACGGAGTCGTTGTTAATGTCTCACACTTCTTGGTTTGTGCCTGCCTGTTCTTTGTGTTCGTTGTTCTTGTTTGGATTGCTTGTATGGTATTTGACCCTTGCCTGGACTGGATTACGTTTCACGGATTACCCAATAAATATCTCACTGCACTTGGATCTACTGTCTCTCTCGTGTGTGTCGTGACAGTACCATAATTATGGCAAACAATACTACTCAAAGGCAAACAAAACCTACATTAATGTTGCATAGTACACCAAACAAACAGAGAGTGTGGGCTTAGAGAACAGGCTGGAGGAGAATCACTGGACTGTGGGGGTTTTGTCTTGGTAATTGGAAAGCACATGTTCCTGATAATTGTGTTCTGGTATGCTGTGCTTTCTCTCTCACATAGCTGCATTCTTTCTCTCTTCCTCCCTCCCTCACAAACATATACTGAAGAAAGAAAGTTACCCGGTAAAGAAGACTTCTTAAATGTATATTTTGATGAATGTGGCAAAGCATGTTGGCTGAAAACTTGGGAAACGGTATGACTAAACTCTCAAGGTGTGGCTATGATGATCTCACTATGCTAGTGTCTCACTAAGCCTTTGTGCAACAACCAAATACATGCTCCTACTTGTGATAGGCACACACTCTCTCAGGTCATTTAGACATGGGCCAGGCAGTTGGAACAGAACATAATAAACCAGAAAGCAGAAAATGTAGGTAGCCTACCTACCATAAAAACCTACCTAAAAAAAAAAAAAAAAAAAAAAAAAAACGATTGAAGTGGTATTATTCACTTCCTAAACCATTTTCTCACCTCTCACCTCACTTTCCAGCTAGGTTATGAGAGTAGTAGACTACACTTTATGGGGAGTTATGTCCACACAACACCTCTCTTGAGTAATATATCCTGTTTACCCCACCCATAAAGTTCTGGGTATACGCCCAGTGATTTGATGGGAAAAAAAAAGCTACTTGGGAAGATTGGAATTCACAGAAGAGGCATTGTATAGGCATTGTAGGCTTAACTTGGAAGAGGCAAGAATCAGCAGAAGAAAAGTTTTGTTGCAAAACTAGGTAAGCATTCCTATTTGATCCTATTAGGACAAACTCTATTGTTTTATTTGATAATACTAAGTCGGTTTAGAATAAAATGGGATGGCTTTGTGGGTATTATAACACATATGTTTCTGTGTTTAGAATAATTAATAATTTATTTAACTTGCTTTGTCTTGATACCCTTGCTAAAAATAGTCTAACGTGGTTTTCTGGTCGTAGTTTGGTCTCTCAGCCTGGTGTGTTCGCTTGTTTTAGGGAAGTTTGGGGCATTTTTCAGCTTGTAAAACTGGTCTGTTTGCTGGCTGGAAGACACGAATACTGAACTTTGGCATCGAGTGAACAGGGTTCCATAAATAAGTTTTCGTGCCCAGTGCAAATGTGTCACTTTCCGTTGGCGTTTAATCCTCCTACTCTGCCTAAATATTTCAGTCCTTACGCGCGACCGTAGGCTCACTTGTCCGGTGTCTTAAAGGTAGCCGATCCAATTCCCTGTAGATGTAACGCAAGCCCTTCTCCCTTTACACCAAATAAGAAACCAGAAACCATCATTTTATTAATTCAGACTGAGCGTTTTCTCGGAGCGCGCGCGCGCGGCTTCTGCCGCAAATCCTCCGCGTGATGTGAATAGATTCGCTCATTATTATGCGTCGTTTGCGGGGATAAGCAATGCAGTCGACCTTACGAGCGTTTGGGGGAAAGGCTCTCGATCATCTCAACCGTACGAAGCACGACCTCAATGTGTCAGCGACGACACGGCCACCAGAACGGCGTTAATAATGAATACAGAGATAAGACAGCGATGGTGGGAGCTGTCCGATAACCCAGAGCTTGAGACAACTTCCTCAACGTTGCCTTCAAGTGCTGACAACCTGGTACACGATAAGGAAACTATTCACCTCACGGATAGAGAGCTTCAACATTTCAAGGCATATACACTGGAAAAACACCACCACTAAATGAATAAAATACTGAAAACTGCCCTTTTTTGGACAGTCCAGCCCAAGATTACTCCCACGCGTTGCTCCAAATCATTCACTTCATTGTAGAAAAAATATTATTAATATTACGTAGCCTATTAATATTACAAAGTATAAATTATTTAACACTTTAGTAATGAAGTAGCTAGCTACAATTACCCAAGTATACTTTACTGCATGCATGTTTGTTTGTTTTTAAAAAAACATTTATTAGAAAATATATATTTTAAGTCTATGATGTGTCCTGTATCCGCTCAGTTATTTTAGGCATCAGATCATTCCAGTCATGTTAGGGCAACGAGTTAAGTGTGACAGCTATTAACTATAGGTATGCCCTTACAGGAACAATAATATATTGACGAAATGCCTGCTCAAGTATTTACAAGTATATGTGTTTTGTGAGCTGAGCATGATAAATGTGAACAGTCTTATTCATTTATTCACTTTCTAATCCACATTCTTTACATTTTCAACTAGTGATGCAAGTTTGGCATTTTTTAGTCACCATCAGGAAACAAGGGTAGTAAACCACAAGTAGCCTGGAGGGACATCTAGAGGAGCAAGAATGGAATGCAGTTCAATAAAGAAAACTGGGAGGAAAGCACACTGAGACTTAATTTTGCCACTATTGTATTTTTATTTGCCCAAGTGAACAAATAAATCGTCCCATTGACCTTAGGGTAGATGCTGTATTTATTTATTTATTGAAAAATGAAAACAAACAGTCCGTTCAATTGGTTGCAATGTTGCATGGCCTATCTGGTGTCAATATGTTGAACCTATTGAACAGACTATATGTCCATTCTTCAAAGCCTAATTTCATATGCACAAAATGAAATATTGTCAATACTGACTAAAGACTGTTGCTATTCACAGTGTCACCACAGAGCAATTTGGGGAAGCTACTTTGAAAGTGTCTCTTGCCAAGCTACAAGCTTAATAATTTGAAGTAGTCAAGCTACTACTGATACAACAACTAACAGTTAAAGGGGCAATTTATTTATTTTAAATAAAAAATATGTCTATCCAATTATAATATATATGCAATTTATAATGTAACCATAGCCACATTCACAATGAGTGATTTTAAATGAATGAACACACAATTACAATTAACAATATTAAACTTGGGTTACACTTTATTTTAAGGTGATGTAGTTACATTGTACTTATTTAAATAAGGTACTTACTATGGAGTTACGGTTAGGGTTTGTTTTAGGGTTAGTTACTTGTAATTGTGCATAATTTACTGTTATTACTAGTAGTAAAGTGTAACTACGTCACCTTAAAATAAAGTGTAGCCTAAAACTTGAACAGGTAAATTTAGAAATAGAAGTAAAATTTGCATAAGTGAGTCGAATAATATTTTTTGTAAATCTGTTAATTTACAGGAAACTTCTGAACAAATCGATTCACTATAATGAATCAGACTTCACTGCATCCATCAGAATCCAGCACTGCAAAAATAATGGAGGACCGTTTAGGACAAACCGAATCGCAGTATTGATTATCAAACTATGAGAACAGTTTGTTTATTCCTTCAGCTCAGCATTTAGTTGCCCTATATACTTTTGCTAAAGTAACTTATTAGCTTATTAGTAGAAAAGCTACACTACTGTCACGCTTCTGAATTTAATAAATGTAATAATAAAATGAGTTGCTCCTCAACAATGGAGCTATTGTGTTGAGAATTTTGTGGCACTCACTGAAGTCTGAAGTCTGTTGCAGTGCTTTCCAGCGTGCTTTTAGTGCTCATTTCCTTTTGGCAACTGGCATGTTTTGCCAGGCTAAATGGGTTTTGTTGACTTCTGAATTTCACAGCATCTGATTACATGACAGTTTGTTTAGGTTCTTTGGGACTAATCACTAGGAGCATCTATCCATCATCCTGCCTGATGCTTCTTTCTGTCCCAGTCTGAGCTTGAGTATCACTCCTAATGAATAGTGTCCCATTTAGAACAATGACAACATATTTAAAGACAAAGACACTTCTCTCTGCAACAAACAGCAGATTCTCACAGCCACACGCATGACCTTATTCAAAGAATCTGTCTTTCCACGTCTGTAACTACAGTAATGCAATGCCACCTTGGCTGCTCAGAAGAGAAGGGAATAATAACCATTATATATTCCACCAGGTCTACCTCCAGTCATTTTCACCCAAGCCCTGCCCAGGCTTCTCTATCTAATTAGGTTAATAGAGGTCCATCAGTAATTGGGAAGACGACAGGGCAGTGGTGTAATGTACTAATGTTAGTGGTGTAGTGTAAGTATTCAGGTGTGACGTCTGTCAGATGGAAGATTTACTTGAAAGGGGAGGCCTATAGAATTACCCATACGTCACACCCACATTAAAATCAAATTCATGTTGTGTGTGCATGTGAGCGTTGTACCTGTCTCAAAGGAAAATGCAGGCCTTGTTCAGTCAGGCTGCAAAAAACAGATTTTTTTACCTACCCGTTTAGTTTTTTTAGTACAGAAAAAAAAACTAGGAATGCATGATATATTGGTACAATATTGGTTATCAAATATTAGAGTTTTTTTCTATATATTTTTTATTGTGCATTGTCTTTTTTACCTTTAGATTTTATTTGCTGTCACACTCTCTAAGCTAGTCTGTAAAGACACTAATAATTTAATAAAATTGTAATCTTTAGCAGGTGAATACCAATTTCATACATTGTAATGGTGTGATGTGTAAACTTACTTGTATTTAAAATGATGAATTTAAGGCTTTTATTTTCATTAGACAAACTAGTACAGAAATTCAATACCATTATCGTCCATAACATAAAAATGCTTTTTTTTTTTGTAAAGTATTTTGTGGGATTGTGGCCTCCTTCATTGGTGCTTTACTGTACCTTGTGTCTGTTGGACTAGCCAGCTAAATGTCACTGGATGGAAACCCAAATTAGATCATTAATTATTTGTTAGTGTCAAATATGCGATGGGATCTTATACAGTACAAGAATTTGAAATGCAGTAGGATACACTATATTGCTTCACTTTGTGTGTTTGTAAGGAAAGGTTTAAAGTGGTACTCATCCAAGAGGAAAGACCTGTAAGAGTGTGTATGGGCTTTTGTGTATTTTTGTTGTTGGATGAGATAGAGAGAGTGTAACAGACATGTAGCAGGCAACCCCAATGGTAATGTGAGCCTGTGGATTGAATGTCCGTTAAAGATCACAGGTTCCATTGTCTTGGTATATATACTCTACAGCTCTACACACTCCTCCTCTGCTCCTTTCTCTCGCCTCCCTTCTTCATGCTCTTTAATTATTCTAACATCATCCCTCTCCTCAGGTCACTCATTTTCCAGTACCTGCCCTTCCTTTTTGTTATCCCAGCTGCTAAAACATCACTTACTAACACTTACTAACTAAACAAACAACTGAAAATGATGTCTCATTATAGACAGGGTACGTTTACACAACAATGATGTACTAAAAACAGAGAAGTTTTTCCTTTGCGTTTTTCATGTACAGACAACAAAGTTGTCAAAACGATCACGTTCACACGTATCCGAGAAATGACTAAAATGCTGCATAATGCATGCAAGGCCAGCATTTTGTAAAGAAAAACTAATATGTGTGATGTTGCCGCTTTCAAAAGTGTGCATTTTCAGGCCCCCAAAACTTTGTCATGTAAATGAATGGCCAAAATGCATAAAAAGTTTTCCATTTTTAGTTGAAAACGGTGTAGAGTAAACGGCCACTCAGTGAAGGGAGATTAATCAATTAACAAATGAGTAACTATGGAAACAACTGGCTTAGAAACCATGACTAACACATCTAACTAGGAGATATAAACTAAGGGGCAATTTACACAACACCATTTTTAACTAAAACTTTTTTAACTGAATTTGTGTAAATGTGGCCTAAAACAGAAACCTAATGTCAAGTCATGGAACCAAAATGAATTCCTAAGAGCCTATTACTGCTGGAAGAAATGGCCTTCCAAACTGACCTTAAAATGATATACAGCATCTTGATCAAGTCTTGACTAACTTTTGATGTCAAATTGATATCAAGGTGCCCGCTGGGTGAAACAAGTAAAAGCCATAATTTTTTACTAATGATAATGAGAAGAACATCAGATGGCTTTTATGGCAGGCAATTATAAAGGGTAGTGAAAGATATATATATCTTTTTTAATTATGTACATTTTTACTACATTATATTATTTGTGATGAACTGGCCATCCGACCAAAGTGTATTCCTGCCTTCAGCCTGCAGACGTTGTTAGGCTCCAGCATCCCTACAACCCTGATTAGAAGAAGTGGTTTGAAAAATATATGATATAATATAAAAAGTCACTCTTACTGTTTTACAGGCTAGGTTTAACAAAGCTAGATCAAAATACCAAGTACCCCCTGGAATTATCCCATGAGGTACACATATTGTCAGAGGATGAAAAGTGAATCAGTTTGTGTTCTGTATATTTACGTATGTTGTCCTCTCCTTTGTACAGTTACAGATATGGAAGGTGCCATTAAAACAGTTGTTATGCAGTACCTGTCTTCAGCACGGGGAAAGGAGAGTCTGGGTGGGAAGAACTTCCAGAAGTTAGTCCAGAGTCAGCTGGGCAGCATCCTGAGTGTAAGGAGCTGAGTTCCTACATGTGACCAGATGTTTTTAACAAATCTCTCATTTTGCTCCATTTAGTTGACACATAACATGTCCATCTTAAAGATTTTATGTTAAAAATGTTAATTAAAAAAAACGTAATCATCTTTTTGCCTTCACAGACATATATCTGTGGATTTCTTGAACGCAATTGCCAATCAGAGGTGTATTAGAATCCACTAACCGCTCGAAACAAAAGTTTTTGTTCAGTTCTGTGTGCTCTCAAATCCTCTCATTGTAACAAACCAAGTGTAGACGGTCTGTAAATAAGAGATTCATTGTGCAGTGTAGAGAGCTTTATTGATTATAATGGAACTTTTTGATATTTTTAGTGATTATAAAGGGAGCTCTCTTTATGCGCTTTATAGGTTATATATAATCCATTCAGAATATGAATAAAAGCCTTGTTTTTCATGCTGCTAAGAGGACCAACAGCCACGTACATGCTGAAAAACGTCAGGAATGACATTCGCATATAAATGTCAAAACTAGACGTGGACATAACAAACTAGACTACCCTCACCGATTTCAGAAGCCCCGTTAGTGTTTTGATTCTGGAACGGGGCCTGCACGTAAATGCCAAAGAATTCATTATAAATAACAAAATTATTCTAAAAAACAAAACGATTAAATGTTTAGTTTTAAATTATTAAACTGAGATATAGCTTACTCTACATTATTTGTTCACGGGACAACTGTCTAACTCTCTCAGAGAGATATTCACCTCAGAAAAGAAAGTATAAATATACATCAGGCTCATATGCATTCTTCTTTTATGATCTAAAAAAAAAAGTAATACAGCTTTAGAACAACATCAAGTTGACAAATTATTTACTGCATTTAGCTACACGATCCCATATAGACCCCATACAAACTACGAGAGAGAGAGAGAGAGAGAGAGAGACAGTTAAATAATTGTTACAAAAGTAAAAGAGCACAGTTGGTGTGTTGGGGCCCATACCTGGAATTTGCTTAGGGCCACCAAATCACTAAGTCCGCCCCTACTATGCCTCATTACGCGTGTCCATTCCTGACTGGGCTAAGCTCGATTGAGTAATGCTTAATAGTTGAGGATTGACACATTCTATCTGTCTCTCTCAGGACACTGACAGTTCCTCAGCAGTGAAGGATATGATGAAAGGACTGGATGACAACCAGGATGGGAAAGTGAGTTTCCAGGAGTACCTGACGCTGGTGGGCTACCTGGCGAACTCAATGAGTGAGCAGAAAACCACAGCCAATGGTGCAGAACCAGCCCCAAAACACTGATGACAGTTGATTACACTGACACTAATTTGTAATGCTGGAGTATTACACCAGTAATCGTGGTAAATAAGGGAGAATAGGGCTAGTTGTCACACTTTTTACTTACTAAATTGTAAAAGTCTGTATTGCACATGTGTGTTTTTGCCAACACACAATGTATTGATAAATTGTGTGAAATTACAATATATGAAACTACTTTTGACTCAAAACCACACAGTTGCCGAGATTGAGCCCTTGTGACTCCCCAGTGTAACAACTAGCCCCGGTCTGTCTCTAATGCACTATACAATCTGCTATTAAACCACAACGATATGAAAGGCTTTTACATTTTAAATATATTACAGTGAAATTATAATACTGTTTACATGTATTCACATTTTATGAAATTATGAAACAGTGACCTGTGGCCAATACAAGTGCTAAAAAAACTGTTGTACAAGTTCCTGCTTTTTTTCCTTTGCTTTTGCCTAAATTCCATGTAACAGGTTTTCATTTCAAGACTCATAAAGGATTTAAAGGTAGGGTAGGCAATGTTTTTCATAAACACTTTTTGTTAGAAATAAAAAAATAGATAAATAATCAAATAAATAAATACTAAAAATGTACAATATATCTTCTGAGGAAGTCTCAGGACCAAAAAATGTTCGTCCAATCATTGCATTCGTTCCAAATGCAATAACAGGATGTCATACCTGCCTGTCAATGTATGTATTTGCATACCTCCGCACACCCTGCTCGCGTAGACATCACACGTCATCAAAACAACGAGCTTATGCTGCGTTCATGCTGTAATTAAGGGATGGCAACATCAAAATGAATCTGCAGCAGTCAGGTGGTACAAGTCAGAGCTCTTTAAGTTGTTTATGTTCATTATTGTAATGTTATGTGCTTTGAGACATGAGGTCATTTAAAGCCATGCATCTCTCGTGAAGCTTCTGCTCTGGCTGTACGCATTCATGTATTTTTGGAGGAGACGAAACTCACTCTGAAGAGAGGGTGGGATCTTATGCTTTCAAAAGCTAGCTTGCTATAGCTAGCCTTTCCGAAATTGCCTTCCCTACCTTTAATCGTGTTTTTACACAATGATTAGTGCTTTTTATGCTTGCTAGATAAACAAAACAAGGCATAAGAATTTAAGCCATACTGCATTTATAGATTTACTCTTCAGCTTTGTCTATTTGGAAGAACGATGAGGTAAAATAGAACATGTTACACTACTGGAGGAACGTTTTGTATAATCTTTCAATAAAATATGGAAATAATGTCAAAATAGTCATTTAAGTCATTTTCAGACATGTAATACATGCTAAACATCATGCTTTATGTACAACCTGAGCCCTAGCTGTTATCTAGCTGTGTTAGTTTTCTTTAATTTTGCCTATTCTGTATGTGTGTGTTCTTATATGCGGAATTGTGTATGTGTGAATTGTGTTTTATGAAGACACAAATGTGTATAATGACATGGGTATTACAATGTAAACATGGTTCCTGTGTTCTCGTAAACCAAAAACATACTAAACAGTGTTTAGATTTCTGTGATGATAGGTATACAGTATAAAAACCAATTACGCATATGGAAGGGCCCCGTAAACCGCATGTAAAAGTGTGTGTGTGTGTGTGTGTTTGTGTGTGTGTGTGTGTGTGTGTGTTGAGTGAGCATCTGAATACATTTGGTCCTGTCACACCTGATACTGTTGCACAGGTGTTAATACATCATTAAGCAAACAGTGTCCATACACATATGGCAGCCAACTGAAAACACACACACACACACACACACTCACAGGGACTCTCCATATACGTAATGGTTTTTATACTGTACAAACTGTATATTCTGTCCCCTTACACTAACCCTATCCCTAAACCTACCCATCACAGAAAACTTTCTGCTCTTTTACATTTTCTAAAAAACATCATTAAGAATGTTCCTTAATCAATTTCCCTTACGTGGACCATTGGCTAGTCCTCACAATGTAGGTGATTTCACGTTTTACTATTCTTGTGGGGACATTTGGTCCTCACAATGTAATAAAAACAAGAGCACACACACACACACACACACACACACACACACACACACACACACACACACACACACACACACACACACACACACACACACACACACACACACACACACACACACACACACACACACACACACACACACACACACACACACACACACACACACACACACACACACACACACACACACACACACACACACACACACACACACACACACACACCCTTTGAGAGTAAATCAGCACCTCCAAAGACCCTTGGGCTGTTAATAACCACATTTGTGCCATATGCTTTATTGGCCTGCAACATAATCAGTCCTCTGGCACCTGACCCCATTTCATCTTATGGCATATGCCTTTATGTTAATAAATTGTATAATTAATATTATTTTTATTCATTTTTAATTTATTTTAAAATAATGAAGGGGGGGGGGGGGGGGTGTTTGTACAATTGTATTGTATAATTATATACAATACAATTATATTGTATATAATTGCTTTTACGTTCATTCTAATTATAGACTTAGGCCTACATACTAACATATAATAATAATAATAATAATAATAATAATAATGCATTACATTTATATAGCGCTTTTCTAGGTCAAAGCGCTTTTACAAATGGAAGGGGGAATCTTCTCAACCACCACCAATACATGTGTATTTTATGTATTAATATATGTACTTAAGTGTAAAATTTGAACATAATTTAAAATAAAAGATAAATGATTTTATAGAAAAAACATATTTTAAAGCATAACTGCAAATACTGTAGTATTTCTAGAGCTGACTGTTTTTTGGGACAGCTATGTTTGTGTCTAAGTCATCAATTACAGGAGATAAATGATTTAGTTCGGGGTGCTGAACTATCACGTCTCTAAAAGTTTAATGTGACAAGCACAAGAACATATAACTAACCTTTAGGATCAAACATATCATTTTACCCAAAAGCTCCTCTTTCAGTAAAGTCTTCAGAGCATGTTTATTTACATGAATTTCATGTTGTTCAATTAGATAAGTAGGAAAGTAAATCAACAAAACAAAACAGAGTATCTGGCTTGTTTTCAATTGCTCAAGTTACCATCTAAAGTAGAAAACTTTCGCTCTTTCAGTTACGTCACTGAGTGTCAACATCACGTTTACTCTTTTATGCAACACTGTTTTTGTATTTTTCCCTTAACATTGTGAATGTGTAAACAGAGAGAACAAAAGGTTGAAAATAGGTAGGCAGAAATAAATGAAGGATGGATGGAAGGAGGGAGGGAGGAGTGTAAGGTATAATGGGAGGAGGACCAAGTAGGTATATAAGATGCTAGCCATCGCCTCCTGTCTTCACCAGCATTCATCTCTCCTCAAGGAACAGAAGAGCAGCAATCATCTAACAGCAAGGTAAGGGAAAGCAACGGATGGATGGAAGAACAGACTGTAATTGTGAATTTTAGTGCTTTATCTTAGGTAGCTTTTGTGCTGCCTGATGCTCCTTTTGAGCTTTTGGACCAGACTGGAAAATAAAGACCTTGGCGTCTTTTGCACAAAGAAAATCATGTGCTAAATAAAAGTTTGGTGTAAAAATCAGCTGCCACTCCTGAGGACAGAGTGTCAGTACAGGCAGATGAGAGACTAAGGTGGAGCCCTAGGGACAAGTGAGCCTGGTGGAGCCCAAGACAACAGCGGAGCTAAGGGAGTGCAGAGCCAAGGCGGAGCCGAAGGGCTGATGGGCCGAGGTTGAGATATGGGCTGGAGGCCAGAGGATAGCTGGAGGGAGTTGGTTTTAAAATGGCTTTTCTGAGGCTCCCCGGCTCAAGTTTTGCATGGCTTGTGACTCATCTCTGTAGAAGTATCTGAGGAGGATTTTCTTCTCCTCTTAAGTTATTTTTTCCAACCCAATATATTTATCAGTTCATCCTTCAGGACAGGGCACAGCTCAAACCCAGGGCAGTGTTATGTGTGTGTGTAGTGAGTTGTGGGCACTGAGATTGGCTCGGATTACACTTGGCCGAGTAACTTCCTCCCCAGGTTCGGAGTGTGTTCTCCAGTTTAGGATTTCACTCTTATCTGGCGAGTCACATTTCCCTTCTGTAGTTAAGTTAAGCCCCCTGTAGGATGATCTGCAAGGGGAAGTCATTATGCGTTTTATGCAGAGAATATATTACTGCTTCTTTTGCAATGTTTTTACTGTTGCGGTCTAAGAATATAAGCCTGCCTCGTGCTTTTAAATATTTAACACAAGCCAGAAATATTCCCCCTAAAGAAAACCTTTTGTGCATCGTTGAGTGCATTTCATAAATCTAAATACAGTCACTTGCTACAGTGACCTATAAATGTTTTTCTCCAGAATGTCCGCTATAAACTCAGAGAATCCCTCCACGCTGGAGAACGCCATGCAGCTGATGATCCAGACGTTCCACAAGTACTCTGGGAATGAGGGCGACAAATATACTCTCAGTAGGCAGGAACTCAAAGAGATGCTAACGCAGGAGCTGGGCAACTACCTTGGGGTGAGGAGAAAGAGTTTTATTTTCTTTGCGAAAGTCAAATGTTTCTAATAATCTGCATCTCTCTTGCTCCACAGAATGCACAGGATAAGGATGCGGTAGATAAAGTTATGGGAGACCTGGATTCAAACAATGACGGTGAGGTGGACTTCACAGAGTTCGTCATCCTCGTGGGCGCCCTCACCGTCGCCTGCAATGACTTCTTCCTCGAGTATCACGAAAAGGATGAAAAGAAGAGTGACAAGAAAGAGTAGAGCTGAATTTCTCTGAACAAAAGCCAACACATGACCAGTAAATGATGATGAGGGGGAAATGGTGGGAGAAAGGGAATATTTGTGTGTATGAATCTTGCTTACTGAAAAAAGTTCCACATCATCTCTTCATCCACATTCAGTGCAATCCTTGGTTCACAAAATACTCCATCACGAGATGCAACATGTTTCCAACCCCTATTTGAAATAAAAGCATAAGGAATGAGATTGGGAGATGGTCTTTGTTGAATATGTGAATATGTGTTTCTTCCTTTATTTTTTTTATTTTTTTAACAATTGGAGTTGTTCATTTTAAAATAATCTCTCCATATTACAATAAACTGCAGATTTAAAAGAAATAAATGGGTTTGGTTTGCTTTTTCAGTTGTGAATGAAGCAGTAATGCTATA